TGAAATATTACGGCCTTACGACAAATCGTTTGATTTTAAAAATTCATCAAAGTTTGAGAAAATGAGTAGCTCTTTTGACATTTGTCAAAATTAAAATTAGATTATTTACTTGGTATAATGATAGAGTACTTGGTCTTGAACATAATAAACCATTAAAGTCCTGAAAACTGGTTCAATTATAAAAATTATTGATTTTTGAAAATTTGCTTTTAGAAAATACTCCGAGTCAAAGTGTTCGTTCGTTTTCAATTATGTGTAATAAATCCACTCGGAATACTTTTAATGACTCATAAATTAATTTATTTTTTATTGATTAAGTCGATTATTTAAATATATCGGGAAGTTCATGTAACTTGCCTCAAGGCTAAATACCAAACCAACTAGTTTTCATTATTTTTTATATTTATCAATTTCACATGATTTGCTAAAATTGCGATTTTATAATTTCGTGTATTTTGTCAAACTTATTTATCTTTTTATACCAACAACAAATTAATCATGAATCAACGAAGTTCAGTTTGGTGGTATCGAAAAAACATCGGTTGATATCGCTGAATGCAATTTTTGCAAGAAACAACTGAAGTGCTGTGGAGGAGAGGACTAGCTCAATTCGAAAACATTTTAAGATTATTCATAGTATTTTAGATAACGAGAAAAACTCTTCCGAAACTTCAACTTCTAGAAAGCGTCAAAGGTAAATAATTTATCAGGTTTTAATATTTAATCAATATTCACTTACTAATAATTTTTATTTAATTGAATCTTTTTGGGGCAATCAAGTGCACAATCAAGCATAAAAGTTTTATAAAATATAATTTGGAACACAATAAAATTAATATCAGTACGTAATTAACATGTAGTGATATGAAAAACACAGTGCCAATTACAACGACTTTTTGCATAGATTTTTTGTAATATGTGTTAGTTTTCAATCCTTGACAGAAATAATACATTTTTCACAAATTGTTTTGAAACTCATAGTTGGTATGACTATAATTCTACCAAATATTGCAGAAGTTGCATTAGTTATCCAACACTAACATATTTTTGAATCAGTCTTGTGCCAGACATCGTAGAGTGCACATCGTTCAATAACAAGTGTATTTACAATCCGAGTTATGCAATCGAGGGCCCACGGTCAGGCCTTAAATATCAAAAAGTGGCACACACCTTCGGTTACTTCCGAAAAATTACACACCTACTTGGAAGGTAAAAGGCATGTAGCTACTGTGCCAGTAAAATTGAGTCGTCCTGAGGAGGATGACCACAAGGCTTATCTCGATCAACATTTTTGTGTCTCCACAATAAGAGATCATTGGAGACACTTGCATCCATTCTCGGGCCAGAATAAGCGTGCTTTTTGTCGCAGGAGCATAAATCCCGGGTGCCAATAGGTTTGACAGCGGCAAATAAGCAAGCCCCGCTCTTGATACATGTTGATTACAAAATTTCATTGCCTGATCATGATTGGGTCGTTGGTTCGAGGCATAAATTGGGCCAGCGTATATGCTGGGTGCATCATAAAAAAATGATATGGGCCGTCCTAAAGCAGTCTCATATTCAGGGCCCACATACACAGCAATCAGAAGTGGAAAACACTCCTCTTCGACAGCTTCCACTCATGCATTCCACAAATGGCTCGGTGAATGGTTTGCTTCAAAAAACAAACGCTTCTACTGGCAAGGCATAAACAATTTGGCGGAAAGATGGCAAAAATGTGTGGCGAACGATGGTAAATACTTTCAATGAAATAAATTGTACCATTTTCTTACAATAAACGCGTTTTTTCAACTTAAAAGAGGGCGGTTTGATATTTATACACCTATATATTGTAGTGGTATCCACCGCTTTGTAATAATTATAAATAATATTTTAAATTACTATATAACAGTCAAATATGAACGACGCAGTTAGTGTTGCTCATAGTTACATTGTAAGCTTGCAGTAGCCTTGCAAGTGTTGATAAAATTCCTTTTGAAACCACAAACTGAGCCTTAACTATTAAGTCAAGCGTAGTTTCTAACTCACATATAACGAATCCGAACAAGTTTGAACCCACATTCTAGAAAAAGATTGCGTCATACCGATAAGGAGTATTTAAGGTTCTGGATGATGCAATAACCAGTCAGTATGAGTCAGTATGAGTCAAGATCAGTATGGGTTAAGATCAATATAGTTCAGTCGTGATCAAGTTATAATAAAGTTCAGTTATTATGAGTAATATTAAGTGATCAATGGAATTATATTTAAGTTTAGTGTTCAAGTTATATGTAAAGTGTACAAGAATCATGAAATAAACGTAAACATCAAAAGTCTTCATCTGTTTTACTGATTCGCTTTCACAGTTTGGTATCAGTTTGATACTTAGCAGCAGGAAGAACCTACATTTTGTTGGCTCCGTCGCTGGATGGGGCACAACAATATGTATAGTAAATAATAATTTTACTTTTACAATTAATAGACTAATTTATTAAATGATAATTTTACAAACGTTTCGAGACTAGGTTTGTCTCATCATCGGTGTGTTATAATTTAAAATCTAAAATATGAAAACCTAAATTAGCATTATGTGTTATCCGTTACAAGTCATTGATTATACTGCCCCACCACAAAAGAGTGTTGTTTGTTCATATATCTAAAGTAATATCTATCTTCCCACTCAGAACACATTTGTTATATATATATATATATATATATATATATATATATGTATATATATATATATATATATATGTATATATATGTATATATATGTATATATATATATATGTGTGTGTGTGTGTGCTAATAAAATCGTTTTTCACATTTTTATTGTTTGTTATTATTTTTATGCCAATCGAAAATAATCACCAACTCTTCTTTCTAGATATTTTTATCATTGTACTTAGATTTAGAATAACATAACATTATACTTCTCTACCAATTTAGGGGGGAGGGGTAATTTCAAATATCAACAAGTAACACCAAGGGCGAGGGGGGTCCAAAAAACCTTGAAAATGGCTCACGTGATTGGGCGCCCCCTAATTGATGTGTGTGCAGAAGTCATACAGGAAACTATCTTAACGAATGTGCGAATCTGGGGTGCGAATGTGCGAATCTGGGGAAGCCAGATATTTTTCAATTTTGTTTGACGAAACTCTGAGCTGAGACTCTCATTACGTCATTTTCATAATGGTATGATTAAGCAACATTTTGTGACTTTTTGCGACACATTTGATGCTTTTAAATCTGAAAACAATAATTTGACATAGGGTGACATAGAACCTAGATTGACAGGTAAAATATTAGCAAAAATTCTTCAAAACTTGTGTACCAAATACAATTTAGATTTATCTTGGTGTGTGGGTATTGGAACTGACAGCTGCTCGGTCATGGCATCAAACACAAAAGGTGCAGTGAAGAAGTTTATGAAAATTGCGATCCATACTAAACGTTGCCCATGCAACAATCATATTCTCAATAATGCACTAGCAAAATCTAGTTTCCTGCCACAATCCATCTGGCATATTGAGAAAAGTTGTGGCATTTTCCAATGCATCTGCTAAGCAATTTTTAAGTAAGAACTTGGGGCTGTCATGCAAGGTATTTGTAAAACACGCTCGGTAAAAAGTTTCAAGGAGACAACTTAATTAAAATTTTTAGCGCTCTGGAAAAGATTTCCGCTTGGTAAGACAATAAAATTGCCAATAACGCACATTGCTTGCTGCAAACATTACGCAGTTCTGACTTTATTATATCCTCCATCTGCTTAAGTGATGTATTAGGTGGTTGTATAATTTATTATTGTCACAAATTCATTGATGTATGCACTGCAGTCACAGTAACTTACTTTTTATTTTTCAGGTACTACTGTATCTTTAAGCAGAACTCTGCAATCGATTTGAAAAAAGCTACAGATGCTTTTATTGATACACTCAGTGTTTTAAGAAATAAAAGAGAAATTTTGAACGTAATCTTCAAATAGGTGTTTGAAGAGGTTACAGAAGTTGCTGTCAGTTAGATATAGAAATTAAATGTTCGCGACTAGTATCAAAACAGATACATAGAGCCTGGTCAAGATTTGACCTGGGCTTTTCTATTTAACCGGGGACCCTTTGGGGTAGGCGATACAATGTTATGAGTATAAATACCTGTAATTTATAATAATTAAGGGGACTAGCAAATGTAATGAAAGAAGTTTGTAGAGTGAAGTTCAATATATATCATAATCTAAATAGTGGTTTTGTTCACATATCTTATGGTGATGGAATATTTATAATTTACAGTCCGCTTATATCTAATTAATCATAATGATCCTTACCATAATTGGTCCATTTCGAGCCGCATTTTAGATCAAAATTGGTCGCATTAAACCGAATTTTAGATCATAAATGGTCGATCTGATCCTAATATAAAAACTACAAAGTGAAATAAAATACTGTAAATTATGATTTTGATCTGGTGCTACGTTGAGTCGTGTAGTAGTTTGTTATGTAAGTCATCACGGATTTGTGTCAATCGGTCAGTTCGACTGTAGCAAATTGCTAGCCAATATAGCATTTCTACTCTTCAAGATCTCAAAGGACGCAATTAATACAAAAACTTAATTACAAATCTCAGGTAAGGCGTTTAGCTGAGAATAATGATTCGAGCACTAACAGTAGCACCGCCAACTGTGCTAGCAGATTTTACATTAGTGAAAGTGTTGAAGAGGTGCAATCCATGGATAATTGCAATTATCATCACATTGCATGTGGAGACTCCCAAGATAAAAGCGCTTCTGCTAGTATTGACAAAGATGAAGTGCTTTGTATTCCGCTTCCACATGTTTAGAGACGCCATGGGCACAAAGATGAATTATCGGCCAATGCTCGCACGTTATTGGGCCCTCCAAAATATGCCACCGATGGTATAAAATTAATTAAGGGTGGTTCATACATTCATTTTGGGGTAGAAGAACGTATTCCACATTCCATTAACAAAGTTAGATTCCACAAAAGGTTGAACCATTCCTGGTAGGGATGGATCATGGAAATGGTAAACCAGACGATGCAAACATTTTCCTTAAGCCTTTTGTGGAAGAAATGAAAGTGTTACAACAACATGGCTTAATTTGTCTCAATAGAAATTGTCATGTTTATATATCAAAAATAATCTGTAATAGTCCTGCACGTGCGTTCATTACAAAGACAACTAGGCACGCGGGTTATGAAAGCTGCTCCAAATGTATTCAAAGAGAAGAGTTTTCACCCCATGTCATTTTAAATAACACATTTTCAGATCTTGGAACAGATAACTCTTTTCGCATGAGGACAAACCCAGGGCATCACACAGGTGACTCCGTTTTGGAGGAACTAAATATCGGAATGGTATCTCAAATAGCACTCGACTATATGCATATTGTCTGCCTATGTGTCACCAAGAGACTTTTAAGCCTCTGGGTAAAAGGAACGAGAGACGTCAAATTAGATGACAAAACCAGGGATACAGTGAGCAAGTATTTACTAACATTTAAAGCTCACATTTCAGCAGAATTTTCGAGATTACCCAGTGCGCTTAAAGACTACATGAACTGGAAGGAAAGCCAAACTACATAAATTTTATTCAACTTATTTTTCATGTCAACATTTATTAGTTTGGGGATCAGGATCTTGTAATCCTGAAACCTGTATTGAGAAAAATGATGTAGCTGGAAATATTCTCATTAAATTTGTAAATGAATACCCCAAACTATATGGAGCTGGCAGATTAACGTACAAAACCCATAACCTAATACATATTGCAAATGATGTTTTGGCCTTCAAATGTAGTTTGGACGGGTTCAGTTGTTTTCCCTTTGAAAACTATTTTAAAAGTATTCAAAAGGGAAGCTCCAGAACTCGCCTAAAACTCTTCAGCAACTGGTTAACAGATTGGCTGAAGAGAAGTTGCTGGAAACCACCATGGGCGCAAATGACCAGCTTTACCCAAGAATACAATATGGAAGGACAAATCTCATAAAAAATACTACTCAAAGATTTTTTAATAACCAATCGATTGCCAAACAATTTATGTATAGTTTCAGATCATAAATTATCTCTAATTCAGTATATTTATGATCTCAATAGAATTGTTTGTTCAGTAATTACAGATAACTATTATTTATAACAAGCTATTATTTATAATTCCATGCGATTCTAGAGATTTTGATATATGCTTATATGATTTAAATGCTAATAAAGGCAATAAATTTACGATCCCCGTTAAGAAAATTAAAAAAAGTCTTAATTTACCCTATTTTATTAATGACTTTTTTGTTTCTATGCCGATAATACATTCTAATAATTAATAATATATATCATGTGGAATTATAAATAATGACTTGATATATATAATTACTAAGCAAAATTCAATATCATAAATTATTTCTAATTCTATATATTTATGATCTGAACAGAATTGACCTCAGAATCAATCTGAACAGATTGATCAGAACATGAAATGACATTTCACTTTTTTTCATGTCAACATTTATTTGAATTTATAAACATTGATTTTTATTTAGATTTAAAACTATAAAAAGTGATTTTGAATATAGCATTTCATCTAATTTGGATATAAATGTTAGATATATTTATATATGTATATGTTTTTGAATTATATTTTTTGATCTGTCAAATTTTTTTTCAAAAATCATAAATCTTCTTTTCTCGAATTGACATTTGTCATTTTAGTGTTTTTTTTTTTTAGTCATTTCTGTCAAAATCATTAGTCTTCTTGTTATGCACATTATTATATTGTTGTTATACCATGATTATATAAATATATTATATTACCCCATACAGCATGAGATGGTCCCATGGACCAACTTGCTTATCCGCAAGACGGGACAGTGCCTAAAGATGAATGTCCCCTGTCACTTTAGCGCGTTCTCTTTTTATCACACGTAGTTACCAACGCCATGTTGAATGCATAGCACATTCGTTGTGATTTTTGTGATGAAGTTGTTGATCTTTTATTTGTTATAATATTTCAGTAATATATATATATATATATATACATCAGAGAACAATAATTTGTGTTTTCAAATAATAATTTTAAAAAAAGACAAATTTTTTAGTAATTTTGATTTACAAAATCTAATTATTCGGCGGAAAATTAACTCACAAAATCATTTTGTTAAAAAAGCTTGTTTAGTGAAAAAGTGCTAACAAATATTCAAACATACAGGTAATTAATTCAACTTTGTCATTAACCTTTTCTTAAAAAATTTCCATAACTTTCAAAAAAATTTTCTATTATGTTTAATATCCTGTTCTGATAATCCACTCATTTATTTTTATCATTTTTATTTTGAACATATTATCATATTCTGTACATTATTATATTTTTACAATTTAATTCATTATTTAAGAAAAATCTATTTTCTTTTCCTAAACATATTGTTTGCTAAAATCTCATCAAGATCATGTTCTTGACAGATGTCCTGAAGATGGAACGTACCTAGTTCCGAAACGTCGACAATAAACAAATAATTAAATAAAGAAATTGTTTTTTTAAAAACTTTTCTTGTTTTTATTTTGTATTATTTTTGGATTCTTGTTCGAAACTCTACAAATATACACATAT